CTTTATCGAATCTGATATTTGAGAAAACATTTTTCATTCAACTCAGAATACAAGAAACTATCTTATTAAATCTATTTAGTATTAGGAAAAGAATTTTATCAATTCAACTAAGATAAGAACTATCTGATTGAATCTAATTTTAGAAAAAAACAAATTTCGCTACCAATTTAACTCAAGATAAAATATTACTTTATTGCACATAATAATAGAAAAAAATTCTGTCTATTTATCTCAAGATAAGCTATTATTTTATCGAACCTGGTATTAGAAAACAAAAATTTCTATTAATTTAACTTAAGATAAAAGAAACTACCTTATTGATGCTAATATTAGAAAAAAAGATTTCTTTATCAATTCCGCTAAGATACAGAACTATCTGATTGAATCTAACATTAAAAAAAAACAGATTTCGCTACTAACTTAACTTAAGATAAACGCTTACTTTATCGAACCTGATATTTGAAAAGAAATTTTCTAATAATGTAACTTAAGATAAAAAAAGAACAACCTTATCAAATCTAGTTAGTATTAGAAAAAAATGTCTTTATAGATTCGATGTAAGATAAAGCACTATTTTATTCAATCTTAAATTAGAAAAAAAAGATTTTGCTGTCAATTTAACTTGAAATAAACGATTATTTTATCGTGCCTGATATTTAAAAAAATTTGTATTACTTCAAACTAAGATAAAAAAGAAATACTTTATTGAATCTATTTAGTATTAGAAAAAAAATTTCTTTATCAATTCAACTAAGATTAAGAACTATCTTATTGAATCTAACACTAGAAGAAAATAGATTTCGCTACCAATTTAACTTAAGATAAACTATTGCTTTATCGAACCTAATAATAGAGAAGAAGTTCTGTCAATTCATCTGAAGATAAGCAATTATTTTATCGAATCTGATATTAGAAAACAAAAATGTCTATTAATTTAACTTAAGATGAAAGAAACTACCTTATTGAATCTAATATGAGAGAAACAAATTTCCTATCATTTTAGTTGAAAGTATGGGATTGCTGTTCCAAATGTAAAATTAGAGAAAAAGCTTTCTATATCAGAATGGATGGGAACATTAACTTTTTATTACTGTCTTTTCTATCCTAGGAAAATAATATTCTGTATGCCAATATTTAGAAACGTTCATTTTTTATCTTAGCCAAGCAGCCAAAGATGAATCTTCTCCATTGGGAATGAATGCTGTCTTTAATGTGACGGTTTCGAATGGGACAGTAAATAATGACTATCTTTATTCTAAAGAAGGAAAAATAGCAATTCACTTAGGAAAGTGTCATTTATTTAAAAAAAAGACTGATTTAGGTAATCAGATGGATAAGTAGAAAGGGTGTGAATGTGGGTTGTCGCTATGGATGTGATAAAAGAAGATGATCATCCTGTACACCCACACACCCCTTTTACATAAACGTATAATAATCTACTCTTATGCGTAAAATGATAAACCCTTTTTATGAAACGGTAGAACAATAAACCCTTAGCCGTAGGATGATAAACCCTTTTCATAAAAGAGTAGAACTATAAACCCTTGACCGTAGAATAATAAACCCTTTTTATGAAAGGGTAGAACAATAAACCCTTAGCCGTAGAATAACAAACCCTTTTTGTGAAAGGGTAGAACAATGAACCCTTAGCCGTAGAATGATAAACCCTTTACATAAAAGAGTAGAACAATAAACCCTTATCCGTAGAATAACAAACCCTTGTCATGAAAGAGTAGAACAATAAACCCTTATCCGTAGAA